AGTCCTAGCCCTAAGTACCTCAGAATGTGACCTCACTTGGAAATAGGGTTGTTGTTGATGTAATTAGTTAATATGAGGTAATACTGGAATAAGGTGGGCCTCTGTCCGATATAACTGGCATCCTTATAAAAAGAGGAAACTTTTCCCTGGGTGCACAACACAGATGTGCACCCAGGGAAAACACCATGATAATATTGGGATTATTCTATCACAACCAAGGAACACCAGAGATTGCCAGCAAACCACCAGCAACTAGGAGAGAAGCATGGGACAGATTCTCTTCCACATCCTTCAGCAGGAACTGATCCTACTGATACCTTGATTTCAGACTTCCGGCCTCCACAATTGTTGAAACAATAAATTTCTGTTCTTTGATGCACCATATTATGGTGCTTTGTTAGGGCAGCTCTAGCAAACTAATACAGGAGCCATTATCAGCCTGCCACACTGTGGTTTGAAATCTGCAGTTTGCAATAGTGAGTTGTTACCAAGAAGTGAGGACTGGGAGTACCAGAGTCTTAGTTCATCCCTGACACCCATCAGTATGCTTAATGGCTTTTATATTTATCCTTACTCCTTTCTTTCCCTAACAGATGTGGCTGTTGTAATATGATAGGAAGGTTAATAGGATCCCATTAATACTTCCTGGTTTGTCTGCATTCTGATATAATAGGGTAGGAGGTGTATATAATAAGAACAATTTGTTATCATTTTAGACCACAATCGAAGATAGAATATGGGGCCCTGGCCTGGTGACTCAGTTGGAGTGTCATCCTATACATCCAAAAAAAAAAAAAGTTGAGTGTTCAATTCCCAGTAAGGACACATACCTAGGTAGCAGGTTTGATCCCCAGTCAATGTGCATACAATACAGAAGGCAACCAATTGATGTTTCTCTCTTTCTCTCTCTCCCCTCCCCCATTTCTCTCTAAAAATAAGCATATTCTCATGTACGGAGAAAAAAATTGAATATGGGTTTTCACAAATGTCTGTAGTAAGACATTTGTGCAAAGGATCCATCAAAAGAATAAAATCAAGGCATACTTTTTCCTTGTGTATTTTTCCAGGTATCTCCAACTTTAAGTAAGCATGGGAACTGGTTTTCAGAAACTAGCCCATGAATAATTTTCTCAATTCAGTCAGACCCTTATTAGCTTTTGTGGGTTCAATTTAACTTAAAAATTTTTGAATATCTGTAATGTACTAGACATCATGCTAGGTACTAGTGATAGAAAAATGTAGCCCTGGCCAGGTAGCTCAGTTGGTTAGAATGCCATCCCAATACACCAAGGTTGCAGGTTACATCCCCAGTCAGGGCATACTGAAGAGTCAACCAATGAATGCATAAATAGGTGGAACAACAAATCAGTCTTTCTCTCCTCCCCTCTAAAAACCAATAAATAAAAATTAAGAAAAGGAATATTAAAATAAAAATATTTATTCCCTATTTCATGGGGAGTCAGACACATAAAATGTAATTAATTGACCTGGCTGGTGTGACTCAGTGGATTGAGTGCCGGCCTGCAAACTAAAGGGTTGGTGGTTCGATTCCCAGTCTAGGGCACCTGCCTGTGTGGTGGGCCAGGTCCCCAGTTAGGGGTGTGCAAGAGGCAACTGATATCTCTCTCACATCAATGTGTGTCTCTCTCTTTTTCTCCCTCCCTCCCTTCCCCTCTCTCTAAAAAAATGAATAAAATCTTTAAAATATGTAATCACATTGTAGTATGATAAATGTAGTAATATAAATACAGCATTTTCAAGTACTAAGAGGTCTGGTAGACATCAGGGAAAGTTTCATAGAGGAAATGATACTTTAAGTGGTTTTGAAAGATAAAGAGAAATTTGCCAGACAGAGAAGGTTAAGAACATTTTGCATGTAAGAGAATAACAGACACAAAAGAAAGAAACAACGTGGTACATTCAGAGAAACTATAGGTAGCTTGCTGTTGATGGAGCACAAATAATGATGGAGAGCAGCAGGAGATGTGTCTGGAGAGGTCAGCAGGGGCAGTTTCTGGGGAAACTAATGTATTGCTACTGTATTGGATCACTGTGACAATCAAGAAGCATGTGGATAAGCATTACTGTTGAGCAACATAGATTCCATCCTTTTCCCCTGCCTGCCTGTGTTGTTCTTCTATTCAGTGGCTAACATTCTAAAAAACATTTCTTATGGCTAAAAAGCAAACATCCAAAATTTAAGGAGTTTCCCATTTGTCTAGTTTTAATTCAAAACTTTCCAAGTTAGACACAAAGATAATTCACTGAATATGTCAACAAATAAAGGTAAGAAATGTTTTCTGTGTTAAATTAAGGTGGCAAGACAGAATCAGTATACCCTATGTACAAGCTTCTGGTTTATTCAAAAGTTCTACCAAACCATTTGAATCTTTGCCTTTTTCTTTACCAGCCTATAACCCCTTGCTAAGGTTCTGGGCATTTAAACTTTGATAGCTTGCTTAAAACAAAAATGTACTACTGCAGTTTGGAACTTTTTTGTGAGTGAGTTTAGAGACAGAGATCTCTCTCTCTCTCCCTCCTCCCTGTCTTTTTCTCCCTCCCTCCCTCCCTCCCTCCCTCCCTCCCTCCCTCCCTCCCTCCCTCCCTCCCATCCTCCTTCCTTCCTCCCTCCCTCCCATCCTCTCACCTCTCCAGCTTCAATTTTTCTTTTGGCTTAACTATTACAGTACTAAATTGCATAAGCTCTATACTTTGACTTGTGTATGCTCTGCTCAGCTCATTGTAAACTTTCATAATCTCCTGTTTATCAAGGTGTTTAGAATTTTTTCCATAATGAAATTTTTAGCAGCCCAATTGAGAAAAACACAATTTAATAGATTTTCCTAAATCTAATGTTTAAGGTCCATGCTGTTCACACTGTATTACAGCTTGTTCTTCCCACCCATATGTGAGATTCAGGAATAGCACCGCTTACTATATAGCAGATTAGGAGATAAAAGTATTTTATGTGTTTTTCAAAGGCTCTGTACATCATAATATTCTAATAATAATTTGAGAAGAGAAATGAGATCGAAAAATATAGATGGGTAATGTCAGTAAGAACCTAATAGGACTGAGTGATAATCATTCTGACCCCCAAAAGAAGCTTTCCTTGCATTGTTAAGAACTAATATCCCTTTGGGAACTTCAGTGGTACCTCAACTAAGTGGCAGCATCTGGAAAGTAGAATACTAAAAGATCTACCATGAGGCAAGAGCTATGGAGGAAGCAATTAGTCATGTGACTGACATAGAATCAAGTCCTGCTGAATTGCTATTGGAATCTCAATGCTCCAAGGCACTGGTCTTTTTAGAGTTTGTTGAGCATTTAATCCATCCATGTAAGTAGCTGCCATCTAAAGAAAGATAATGGATATTGTTGTTAATTCTCAAGCACAGGTCCCAAGAGTGCCTTGGAGTTTAATAAAGAGTCAGCCATTAGGTATTGAGGGAGAAGAGCATACAGAACTAAGAAAAGATGTGGCTCAACCTAACCATTTTTATTTTCTGTGTCCAAACCTTAGTGAAGGATGACCTTCAACTGCCTCAGTTTCAAGAGCATTATCATAAGGTGCCTCTCTTACCATCCCCAAACAGTAAATAACCATTGTTTTTAAAGAACCCCAGGGCAATAGGAAATGATGAGATAGAGTGATTTATCCAGCATACTATGTGAAAGTGAAAATGGAACTCTGCATTAGGATACAACTGATAAATATTCACGAAGATACAGAATGAATGAGATACTTCCTTGCATATTTCACTTTCCAAGTTCCTTAAATAGAAAAACAGGACATATCTATATATCTTGAAAAGCATCATTTGTTGATTAGGAATGGTTTCAGCTACAAGTACCTAACAATAGCTTACAACTTTGTGAATCCCTATAACACAATATGTTTATAACTAGGACTTAGAAACAGCTAAGCAAGAGGACCTAGCTTCCTTCTACGTCTCTGCCTCACCATTTTTAGCTTTTATCTTTTAGTCTCAAGTTTGTTACCTTACAGATAGAGGGTGAGAAGTAAAGAAGAAGACGTAGCAACAAGGACTTTTCTATCTTTACCTTTTATAAGGGAAAAAAGCTTTCCCAGAAATACAGTTTCAACCCCAACCCCCTCAGTGGATTTCTGTGTCCCATGGGCCTGAAGTTTGTGACAGGTTTAATCTTAGCTACATGGGAAGCTAGGAAACTGATTATCTGGCTTTTGGCCTTTGTAGTAAAAGACAAACGGGGGAGAAGGGTTGGGAATGAGGGTGGGTTAAGAAACCAATGGTGCTTTCATCAAACCTATTACCTCTTCCCTTTCTCTGCTCTTCCCCTAAGCAGTCCCGCATGACAGGCATTAATTGACAACAGTCTTTTCAGGACCAGAGAGGCCTTATAAACTATGTGGATTTCCAGTTAAAGTCATTGGACACAGAATGTAGTTATGGCCTTACTGGAAAAAGTCACAAGCAAATATTATTTAAAAGAAAAAAAGGGATTCTGGAAAGGTGGCAGAATAAGTACAAGGAATTGGTATTCTCACCTAGACAATAATTGTACTGGCAGAATCTGTCTGATAAAACTGTTTTGGAGCTCTGGAATCTGCTGAAGGCATGCAGCTTTCAGGGGAAGAATTGAAGGAAAATTGTGGTTAATTTCAGTCAACTTAGCCGAGGGGCAGAAGCAGCTATGCATCCCCATCCCCCATCCTAGGCAGTTGTGCATATGTTCCTGGAGCAGCTTGTATACGGAGGGTAGGAGCTCGTATGAGCAAAAGGGACCCTGTCCTCTAGATATCAGGGATCTGTACCCTGACTGCTGATTATTGCTTTTAATCACAGAGGTATAGACAAAGATGTGAGTGGCCTTTTTGTTGGTCCTCCCTACATTGTTACAAACCCCTCCCCCACATTATTACAGGCCCCTTCTTGTCTGGTTGGTGTGGCTTCTAGGGGATTTAAAACACTTGAACCTTTTATTCTCTCCTTCACTTTTCACTTTTCCACTTTTAGGAGGCAGAATTAAAAACTAGGATATTCAAAAACAATTGCCTGTGTGAGGAAAATTAGAAAATGACTGTACATGCCCAGATAAAGGCTCAATAAAGACCTGAGAAGACATTGAGTGTGCACCTGAGACTGAACCTTGGCACAGAGACACCCTACAACAATTATAAACACTAAAACAATTACAAAAATCAGCAAAACCTGGGGAAGGAAGATAATCTGATTTTTTAGAGTTACAACTTTATTAATAGAATCAAACGTCCAGTGTTCAACAAAAAATCACAAGGCACACAAAGAAACAGCAAAGTATGACCCATTCAAAGGAAAAAAACTGTTGTGAAAAAGACCTGACGGCAGATGTACTAGACAGAGAGACTTTAAATCAACTGTCCTAAAGATGCTCAAAAAGGAAGTTGTGGTGAAAGCCAAGAAAACAATGTATGAACAAAATAAAAAATATCAATAAGGTAATAGAAAACCTGAAAAGAAACCAAAAAGAAATTCTGGAACTGAAAAGTACAATAACCAAAATGAAAAAATTTACTAGAAGGATTCAGAGGCAGATTTGAGCAGGTAGAAGAAAGAATCAGCAAACTTGAAGATAGGAGATGGAAATAATTGAATGTGAGGAACAGAAAATAAAAATCTTTGGAGGCTAGAAGACAGTGGGCCAATGTATGAAGGTTCTAAGAGAAAAAACTGTCAACCAGGAATCTTCTGTCCAGTAAAACTTTCCTTCAAAAGTGAGGGAGAAATTAAGACATTCCTAGATACACAAAAGCTGAGGGAATTTGTGACCACTAGACCTGCCCTGCAAGAAATGCTCAAGGGAGTCCTGAAAAGTGAAATGAAAGGATACTAGACAGTATCTCAAAGCTATAGGGAGAAATAAAAATCTCAAGAAAGGTAAATACCTGGGAAATTATTGTATAAAGCTATTATTATTGTAAGAATGGTTTTTTTTTGCTTTCTACGTGATTTAAGAGACTAACACTTCTAAAGAAAAAATATTAGTGTAAAAGCTAATATTACTGTAACTATGATTAGTAACTTCAGATGTTGTTTTCCTCATAATTTAAGGAACTAATGTATTTAAAAGAAGTATTAGTTTATGTTTGGGGGCCAACAGTGGGGGCCTACCTCTCTCTCTAAAATCAGTTAAAAGATATCCTTGGGTGAGGATAAAAAAAACAAGAAGAAAAAAATGGTTACAATGGTAAATTTGTTGTATATATTTTACACTCCCCTCAAAAAAAATTAAAAGAGGAAGAAAGAGAGGAAAGAGAAAGATTTACACTTACCACTTTGCTGTGATACTACGGAATCTTATAGATGAAGTTGAGATGACCAAGACTTTGGCTAATTACATTGAAACCTGAAGTAAGATTGTATTTCTCAATCTCATCAAATAGTAAGCAAGATTTAAAAACAAAGTATTGAACCTTTCCCAACTGAAACTGATAAGAAATTATATTTGCCACCCTCTTTCCTACACTGCCCAGTCTCTTAGAGTTGGCCTGTATTAACTTTGGAGCTCAGTTTTCTTTTAGCTGTGATTTATTGGTCACCTGCAACTTACTTGGCACAAGACACTTCCTATGGGGCTCATGATTTTTCACATTTGTCAAACAGGAAGAGGGAACAAGAAACCAAGATAAAAATGAGTGATCAGGTATGGGTGAGTGTTTAAAACTTATGCTACTTAGAAGAATAGTTGTGTAATTGTTCTAAATGATGTAAAATAATGCATTGATATTAATACCAAGTTATAACAAAGATCCAGCAATTTAAGGTTGACTGGTTTTAATATTTTTCTTACCCCTCCCCCCACTATGTTGATGTGATTATAAAATACCTTTTCCTTTGGTTAGTTATAGTAGTGTAAACTTTATAAAATGAGGAATCCAGTTGTGGTTTTTTTTTTAATCCTTATCCAAGGATATTTTTTAAATGAATTCAGAGAAAGAGGAAGGGGGAAAGAGAGAGAGACACCGATTGGTTGCTTCCCATGTTGGGACTTTCCCATCGTGTGAGCCGTGTTTACCTGTGTCACCATCTTCACTGGAAGTCCAATGCAATTTTAGAAGAGATTGTTTTCTTAGTTTTTCTTTGTGATAGTTCACCCTTTGCTATCATTTTGACCTGTTCCTGTTTACTTAATATTTTGAAATTCTATGTGTCTTATTCTAAACTGGTTTTATTAGGGTATTCTTGGTCTTGGCTGGGCCCAGGTTTTAGTTCCATAGGAAAGAGTTGATATTTCAAAGATCAACTCTCCTTTTGGATATGGACAATGAAAATTCTCCCACCATTGTACACACAGACAGGAGCTTTGTAGTTGGGGGTGCTTTGTAGCACTTTAGTGAGCTATGCTAGTTGACATTCATTCAGCAAATATTTATTAAGTGCCTACTGTGTTCAGATCCTGTTCTAGATCCTTAGAATACTTGCATGAACCAACAAAGGAGGATGCTTGTTCTTGAGGAGCTTATGTTCTACCAGATGGTTTCACTGTTGGACCAACAACCAAATAATACCTCTGCTCTCAAAATGTCTCCTTTTTACAATGGACTAATTTAGTCTGCTGCTGGAATCTTCTCTTTAAGATACTCAAACAGCCTTGCCAAAACAGAAAATTCCTCAATTAATAGATGAAAGAATTTACCTTAGGTTCAACTGGTGGGTTTCCCCCCTCCCTTTAGTTTGTCCTCCTTCATTCCCCTGACAACATTTTCTCTAGAGTATTTTTGGGAAGAAGTTTCCTGTTTTTATTTTTCCTCTATAAATTACCTTGTTCACACATACAGCCTATGAGCGCTGCTCCTGCAGTTGTATTTATTTGTTGAACAGTTCTGTACTTTGAAATGATTCATTCAAGAGCCATGAAGTATTCAAAGCAGGATGTGTGACTCATTTAGTAAACAACAGCATTTTGAAGTAGAGAGCAGAAGCACAGGATTGATCGCAGTACAGATAAAAGTTTTATTGGCTTTGAGGTGTGTGTATTAGTCCCTTACCTCCTTCTCCCTTTCCCTACTTCCCCAACCATAAATGTTATCTCGCATTGGGAATAGAAGCACTGCAGTGAGGGTGCAAAGCCTTATCAAGACTTTTGAAGATCTCCCAGTTTTTTCTTTCAGAATATACAGAACAGGGGACCCCCCCACATGGAATTTATCTATAAAAATTATGTATTTATTCTTACACGTTTAAACTTCAACCCTGGCTGGTGTGGCTGCCCTGCATGGTGTGACTCAGTGGATTGAGGGCTGGCCTGCAAACCAAAGTGTCATCAGGTCACTGGTTCAGTTCCGGTCAGGGCGCATGCCTGGGTTGCAGGCCAGGTCCTCTAGTTGGGGGCATGTGAAAGGCACCCTATTGATGTTTCTCTCCCTCTCTTTCTCTTTCCCCCCTCTGAAAATAAATAAACAAAATCTTAAACTTAAGTCATTTTCAAAGTACTCTCCATTGGATGCAATATACCTCTTGAGACATTTTTTCCACTGTTCAAAATAGTTTTGGAACTCGTCAATTGTGATGCCTTTTCATGCTTCTACCATTTTTGTTTCACCTCTTCCGCATCTGCGAGCACTTCCCTTTGAGGACTTGCTTCATCTGGGGGAATCAGAACAAAGTTTATTGGGGTGAGATCAAGTGAATAGAGAGTGCAAGGCATGGGGATCACGCTGGTTTGGGTCAAAAACTGCTAAACATTCCATTCCTCTCAGTGTGGGCAGGTGCACTCACAAATCACTCATCATGAAATAGGCAAATGTGTTAAGAGGGTCTTCAAACAAATTAACTGTAGCCAAACATAAAGAGCCTCTGACAACAATGGCAGCTCATACACTGATATAGATGGGTTTCTAAAACACTCACCTAACGGCAGAAGCCTGTAGTACCCTCCAGAAGATAATTCCAGGTTTTGGTGGTTCCCCCTCTTATGATCAATTGCAGTGATTAAAATAGTGTTCTGAAAAAGGTCAGCTACTCTTTCCACCCTGCTCAGGACCAATATCACCGTGCTAGAGCTTGCTCTTGATAGTTTCTCAGATTTTCTCCAACTTTTCATACTATTTTCCTTCATCAAAATGTGCCCCAAACTACTTGATACTATAGTAGAAGAGAGCTATTCTGCCCATGAAGCCCTGCCAACCCCAGATACCCTAGAGAAGAGGGGAGATAGTTAGGTTTCAGCATAAATGATTTATCAAACTATCACAAATGTAAATTCAATTCCTTATATTATTCCCTAATAGTTTAGGCATTCAGTGCTCATTTCCTAATAACTAAAGAGTCCTGAGTTTTCTCCTTCCACCAGTCTCCTTTTCTAAAACAAGGAAAGGGATGTGCATTAATCATAGGTCAGCATATAGGAGCATTTTTAAATGTGAGGCAAATCCATATAGGAACTGGAGCTGTGATAGCCAAAAATAACATTTCAGGAATGGATTTGGCTAGAGGTTGAGTGCATATTGCACAGAAATTTCATTGGTTACAATACTTTAGCAAGGATTTAGCTTGAAACTATTACATTTCTAATGCCCATATGCTTGCTTCTCGCTCAGAGTCAATAGACAAAAATTTAGCTTTAGTTTGGCCTGAGTTCTCAAGTACCCCTGAGCCTTCTCTTTAGTACTATTTAGTGCTGCTATCTCAAGAAGCTTCTGGGAGACTAGTATTAACAGGGTTAGGAAAAGAAGAAGTCTCCCTAAGTGTTAACTTGTTTAGAATTATCTTGCAAAGAAAAGTTAATTTTTATTATAATACCTATCTATCTTGAGATTAAAAAAGAGAAAGGAGGAAAAAACTAGCTGAGTCTATGCTGTCTGCCAGGTACTACATTAAATGTTTCAAGTAATTATTTAAAAGCTTTTAAAAAATGGGTAAGAGGGCACCTTCTGAGGTGCCTGAAATGTTTCATATCTTTTTTCCCTTGAAGTGACCAATAATTATTAACTTCACTTATTGTTCATATTTATAAAACCTTCAGTTTCTGAAATATAATAAAATTACTGTTATATATAGTACAAGTCTGAGGACATGAGAGATCTTTTAATTATTATTAAAGTATAGTTGGCATACAATATGTTAATTTCAGGTATATAACATAATGATTCCAAATCTGTAGCCCTTACAAAGCGATCACCACATCAATTCTAGTAACCTTCTGTCATCATACAAAGTTATCACAGTATTTTTTACTATATTTCCTGTGCTATACATTACATTCCCATGGCATACTTACTTTATAACTGGAAATTTTTTTTTAATATTTATTTTTAGCCCTGGCTGGCGTAGCTCAGTGGATTGAGTGCGGGCCTGTGAACCAGAGTATCGCAGTTCGATTCCCAGTCAGGGCACATGCCTGGGTTGCAGGCCAGTTCCCAGCAAGGGACGCATAAGAGGCAACCATACATTGATATTTCTCTCCCACTCTTTCTCCTTCCCCTCCCCTCTCTCGGAAAATAAATAAATAAAATATTTTTTAAAAAATAAAAATATATATTTATTTTTAAAGAAAGGGGAAAGGGAGGGAGAAAGAGAAGGAGAGAAACATAAGTCAGTTGCCTCTCATACACCCTCAACTGGGGACCCTTAACTGGGGACCTGGCCCACAACCCAGGCATGTGCCCTGACCAGGAATTGAACCAATGACTTTTTGGTTCTCTGGCTGACACTCAGTCCACTGAGCCACACAAGCCAGGCCTATAATTGGAAATTTGTACCTCTCAATCCCCTTTCACCTTTTTTACCCATCTCTCAACTCTCCTTCATGTCTTGATCTGGGTTCTGATTACATAGGCGTATATGTTTATACAAAGTCATTGACAGGGAAAATGTACTTATTGTATACCTAATTAAGATTTGTATTTTGTATGTTTTACATTAATTTTTAAAAATTA